TTTTTAACAACAAAGAATCCGCATTCTACAATTTTCTTATCGAAAAACCAGCCTTTACCTTCGTTAACCTCATTTGTACGCAGTAACTATATTTATTTATGTGTTTGTGGCTCTTGCAAGTCTGTCTAGCATTCATTTAGAAAGGGGCTTATTACCTTATCACTTTGTAATGCCAGAAAAGTAAGGGTATATAAAAATATTGATTGATCTACGATTAAGTGTACAAATGGAAGTTCTCTGAGTGCTTTGGAGGGGAGAGTCATTGGATCTCCACGGTACTCGTCGTATATGGGTCAATAGTCTGTCGATCACTGCCATTGATAATGGTTTGTCAGATAATTTGTGTGCCTCCCCTGTTAGCCCACCAATTAACCGAAGTTCTCCTACTCCATCATAAATTGAAACGATTTTCCCCCAGTTCTCGTTAGATTTTACGTTACGTTCGCCTTAGACTGCCAGTGGCTGCTTTGTGGAGGAAGACAACGTGCTTTGGCGTTTTATTATTTATTGTTATAAAATCCGCGTTTTATTTTTATAAATTTGTTGCTTCCTTTCAACGCGTTTTGGTGTCATGAATATTATGTCATAACGATTTTGGTCACGCATCTATCTGTGTCGACAATTTTCATAACTTTTTTGTGTGCTCGTTATTGTGTTTAGCTGCGTTTGCTTTTCTTTTCGTTGCTCCTCTCCGCAGCTTTGCCACCTGCAATATATAGAGTTTCTTTTGCCTTTTGGTTTTTCTTCTCTCTCATTTTTAGCCAAATTATGTCACTTTGTGTGTTGAATGTTTATTTAAACAGCGCCAAAAAGTTTCAATTTCCGTTTGCTCATTAGACGCTTGTGGGTTGCTGTATTTTCTGACGGTTTTTGGGGGCACATAATTAAGCGCTCGTTTTCCATTTTTGGTCACAGGTATACAGAGCGAGAGAGAGACAGAGAGGCAGACAAGCGCAAACTCCTACACCCATTAAAATAGAGGAGCAGTCGAAAAGAAACTGCAAATTTTGGGTTGCGGTTGATTTTCTACATACTTGAGTATTCGTACCTAGCAGTGTGAAGGTAGAACCGTTAGATCCCTATCTCCATCCTTTGCCAATGCTTACACAACGCTATTGATGGGCAGCGATTGATGCTCACTCACTCGCACTCAGCGAGGATTACGTTCGATGAGAGTCTCTCTCAGCGTGCATTCTCTCTCTCAACAAAACACAAGTGCAGCAATAGCAACATCAATAACGGGATGCAAAATAAAGAGAGATAAAAGAATTGGCATCCAACAAGAAAGCTTTTGATTTATACTCGAATTGAGCTTTTTGTTATTCCCTTTCATACATGTATAATGCATAATGCATCAACAAATTACTAGGTATCGTCTAGTCCAAGCACTGGAGTTTTTTTTCGTTTTTTACTCAGTTGATTTGTGTTCCTCTCTCGAGCCTTACTCTCTTTGGGTGCTAATGAGTTTAACAACCTACGGACGGTGGCTATTTTTGACGAGAAAATCAATTGAAATTGGTTTATGGCAATGTTGTTGTGTGTTTGTAGGGAATACCAACACATGAATTAGTCATCGAGTACATTAGCAGGTGAATCAACTTTCACAATGGTTCATATTTATAAGAGCTCTCTTCTAGATGCGATATTTGTTGATCTGCTGTTTCGGTTGTCTTTGTGCTTGAGCGCATAATAAATATTTCAATATACGAGAACCAGAAACAGCAGCGGCTCATAATCTAATTAAAGTTCCCCCTAAATTTAAGCAGCGTAAACAACATTATGGGGATTTAAAAACTAGCTCTTATCTCTGCTAAAATGTGTTATCTTTGTGAACTTTTGATTCGACAACAGAAGCGTTCAACGAAATGCACATTGACACAGGCACAGGCACAGGCACAAGGCACATTCGTAAGCGTTTTAACCCATGACATCATGCCGCAGAGATGATGATATATTTTCTGCACTCTTTCTTGCACAAGTTGATGGCAGTTTTTGTCACACGGCCCCAGACGAGAGAAGCCATTGGAAAGGCGTCAGAATGAACAACTTCAGAATTAATTACGATCCACGGATGGCAGGAGAGAGCGGGAGAGAGAGGTTTTCACTTCATTAGGGAAATTTAATTTCATGCAACTATGAAAGAGCAGAGACACTTCCTTCGTTTCCCCTCTTTTATCGCCAAAGCTGGTCATTAATTTCTTAATCACGTATAAATAGAGCGGCACTAGGGGATAGAATAAATATAGAGATAGATGAAAAGATGGAAAGAAGTCGTGCCCAGCACTTGGCATTTATTTATTAAAATTGCTCTCAGCAAAGCGACGACTGTTCGTCATGGAAATGGGAAATTAGAGATGGGATATTAGCATATTCCTGCAATCATTAACTGACGAACGGCTTGCAGTCGCTGATGAGTACATTTCAGGTTGTGGCTTATTAGCACATTTCTGCCTTGATTCTAAGGCCTCCAGACAAAGGCCAAAAGTACTGCGAAACTCAGGGCCCAAATGGGAACCAGACATCCATTACTGTGGTGCTGGTGCTGGTGCTGGTTTGTGGAAAGCGGGCTCTGGAAATAGAAAAACACTCCACAAATGAAAAGCGAAACTGTTAGCACGAAAATAGGCTGTTTCTCTCTCTCTCTCTCTCCATCTCCATCTTTGGGCCTGCTCGTGGCATTTATTTTTAGCCACAAAAAAACTGTCAGGCATTGAAGTAAAATCCATAGACATGGAAACATAATGTAGGCTAACATTAGGGAAAATTCCAACAGGAAAGAACATCAAAGTGGTTGCTCAAACTACTCTACCAATGGAATTTTTGAAAGTAATTTGGAGCAAAAGTACTTATATGTACATAAATATCTAGAAGCGTACAACTTTCCGACTGCAACTTGTTGCCAATCAAGTTTAACTAAGCGGAAAACTATAAACGTTGATCTTGAGATTGATATTAATAATAATTATTCAACTGGGAAATAGTTATTCTAATTACTATAACGGCTCAACTATTATTTTAGTTAATTAAGACGTTCAATGAATTGATTTTTAATTATTTTTTAATTTTAAACTGAAAGTCAAATGTAGACTTTCTGGATCGTTAACCACCCAACATTAATAAAACTTGCTTAAATCTACAAAAGTTTAAATTTAAATTACTTGAAGTCAAATTCGCTAACTATTTCCATATGCCATGGATATTTCTATTTGGGAATACAAAAAACGTGCTCAAGAGCAATTGAACGACGGTTGCTTTATGCTTTTGTTAAGTAAACTATTTCTCTGCCGCTTCAGCTGATTGTTTGTTTCATTTAAGTTAGTTTTTATTTATTTTTTGTGCAAATTTGTTTGCCAAAAGAGCAGCTGGCAAGAAAGGAACCCACCAGCAAACAAAAAATAAACAAACAAACAAACGAAAAATTGTACAAAACGTGCCGCTGCATGAACAAGCATAAACACTGAGAGCCAAAGAGGCAAGATCGAAAAGCAGCAGCAGACAGCACAACAAAATAGCGTTGCCATTGTTCAGGTTTTGGGCTAAAAAGCGACTCGAAAAAACCGAAATTTCTGCTGATTATGTAACAAACCGAAAGAGAAAGAGAGGTGGAGAGGTGGAAAAATGGAAGACAGAGAAAGAGCTTTGTTCAAAGAAAAGTTGTTAAGAAATTGACAACGCAGCACTGGGGTATTTGGGATTTGCATAAATGGAATTAGTGACTTGACGCTAACAAGTGAAGCTAACAACAACAACAAAGAACCAACGCCCCAAGTGATCCATTCAACTTTTTGACCCTGTCGCGATTGCAACAGTTTTACAGTATCTCATCAGATATCTTTTGCATTAATGTAGATATGTACATATTATGTATGTATATATTTACATATGCATATTCTATAGCCTTTTGCTGTTTGTTTTTTTTTGCGTTTTTTGGTGTATGCTCTTCTACGTTGTTGTTCTCCGTCTTCTGGCCAGAACGAGTTTCTGCTTTTACTGCTTATGTAAAATTTTGTTGTTGCTTTTTTTTGAAGTTGTCTCAATGAGAATTTCATTCTTGAAATGCAAACAGCTGTGTGGGACAAGCACAAAGCCATGTGCACACACAGATACAGATATGAGCATGGATACATTTGGTGAGGCAAACATCTGAGGAATATGAATGGGAAAAGCGAATGAATATGTTGATGGGCAATGCTCAGGTTTCGGCATGAGAGCCGCCGGCAGGGTAGGGCAGAATACCGCAAAATTTAAACATAAAATATGGTAACGAAACACCTGCTCTGCAGAGACCCCTACAACCCTCCGTGTTCCCTATATTCCTTTCGCTGTCTCTCTCTCTCTCTCTGCTGCGCTGCTCTTAAGCACCTGCAATATATTTGCAAGAAAGAGAAGAAGAGAAGAGAAGTGTCGTCTGTCCCTTTATCCGTTGCTCTTCGTCTCGTCTGTTTATGTTGTTGCCATTGTTCTGCTTCTGCTCTCTCATGTTTACTGTTTAATCTGCCATTGCACTTTTGCCTTGGGTACGTTTTTTGACAGGTGAAAAGAGGAACACTGCACTTTGAATATTTCTCTCTGCCTCTCGCTTCAGCTCAAATTTCAAATTCTACAAATAAAGAATGAAATAGAGTGGAGGAGTGGGAGTCTATACCCCTCCATATTCCTTGTCGTTTTAGCTTAAAATCTATTTTTCCACCGTTGTTGTCACATGTACATAAATCCATCTCTCTCGCGCTCCACTCCTGCTGTTGACAGACAAACTCAAAAGATTTATACAAGTTATAAATATAGTGTGCCCCACAACCAAACCAAATAGTGTGTCGTGTGTGATGTTGCCACGCTGTAAAAATGGAGCAAAAGAAGAAGCAGCACTTGCCGCAGAGAACTTGCAATCGGAAAAGTTCAACCATGAAATGGTTTTAAAATGTGGAAAATGGTTGAGGAAGAACTAATAGGGAGAGGTTGATGGGATCAAATCCAAATACTGATCTCAATCCGGAGCTGAATCAATCTTAAAGGGTTCTGTAATTGAAGAACTTTTAATAAAACTATTTCATTGAATGTGAATTTCGGTCATTTGCTTTTCTGTTGAATGGCTATTGATTTTCTGGGTTTTCCCCCTGTATTCGTCTTCTACTACCGCACTTTTAGTAGAGGAACTGCAACTTTTAGGTTTGCGAAGACATTGCCGCGGCATCGGCAAGGATTAGATACTTTGACGGCACTGGGCACTGCATCTCCAGCTGCTCCAGTTGCGTCTGCTGTTGTGTCTGATCCTGCTGCTCTTCTATATCTTCCTGATGTTGCATTTCCTCCTCTTCTTGCTTGAAGCTCTTTCCCTTAGTCTGCGGTTTCTCCTTGCCGGACTTCTGCAAGGGTTCCGTGGCCACCACAGCACTCATCCAGAAGAGCGCAGCTATCGATATCAGCAGAGAGCCCAGAATGGTTGCCTCGTGCTGTAGGCACTCCTCTTCGCACATATTGCCGTAGTAGCAAAGCGCCGCCTTCACCCACAGACAGATGATGAGCTCAATTCGGGCCCAGAGGACCAGAGCCAACACCTCCATGACGGCAATGCTTAACGTCAGTTCGATCACGAAGCGCATTGGCCAGAACAGCCGACGCTTGTACCTCTTTGGCAGCAGCACCATGTCCTCCAGAAAGTGCAGGAAACCGCAGTACATCATGAAGCTGGCGTAGAAGCTCCCCGGCACCGGCATCGGTTGATCGATATTCACGAAGAGGCTGGTCTGAAGCCCAATTTGCACTATAGATGTGAGCAGCATAACCAAATAAGAAACCATAATGAAGTTATAATCAAACGATGAAAGTTCTCTGAATTAACAAATTGTAAATTCTTGAATTTTCCGAAAATTTTGGTTTGTTAATCTTTTGGAGACCGAAAACTGTTTGAGCTGTGGGCCGGCCAGGTGACAAAACTGATTTGTTTTCCTATGGTATGTGGATATTTTTGATTTCCTTGTGAACGGAAAACAGCTGCCACATTTGTGATTGTTGCTGCTGTGAGATCCATAAAAGAATCAAAGGAATTCCCTAGAGGGTGTCCAATCTCAGTATCTTTAATGTTCGCGCTCCATTTCCTCACTTTTTGACGGGCATAAAATAAATCTAGAAACTTTAGCGCTGTTCATAAAATAATCCTTTCACTTTTGGGTACTTTCTAAATATAACTTTATCTATCAAATGCTTCTCAATGTCAGAAACAACTTTTATCTGTTTCGTTGCTGTTAATGAAATTATTTTGTAGCGCCTTTCTTTTATTTATTTGTATACCAAGTGCAACTTTTTCCTGTTGCTTCTTAGCTTTTAACGCATTTCTCCCTTTGTGACCGCTGTTTAAACTCAATTAGATGTGCAATGAAATGAAATGCTAAAAGCCTCTGGAGGAAGACCTGTAGCGAGGAGGCAGGGATAGGCTAATGAAATGAATGTAATGCATCTGCACCCTGATAATTAAATTAATTTGCATAAGCTGCGACCTCGTGACATTACCCCCCTCCACATGTGGCAAAAACCCGATGGTCAGAGAGTCATGGTTGGGAGAGGGAGTAACCCATGTGTACACCTGCCCTGATTTCATGGACTCTATACCCTTGCCGTAGTCCTGGGTGCACTTTTTAGCATGCAATCAAGGGAAATGTTGGCTGAAAGAGTGGTTTGCCCTTTGCGTTTTGCTGGAAAATTTATTGTAATGCGATTGTGGGGCTAGTTGTCGGTTTTCCATGGCGGCCGCAGAGCAGGAAAATCGATGGTACGCGAGAGCCATTGTCATGCGATGGAATGGCAGTGGAAGGGGGTCGTTCGGAAGGGGATCCAATATAATGGAAAAACTGCTTTACGCTTTTTCCACTGTAATGACAGTGTCCGTGCAGCGTTCAATCGCACACACACACACGCACACACAGATACATAAATTGATTTCCCTAAACAGCAGACAGCAACGAAAAAACCAGAACTACAGATAGACCAGAACCAGACAGAACTCATACGCCGTAGGTACACAGGAAGCAGAAAGGGCAGAGCATTACTGGTGTGCCGAAGCGTTGATACCCTATAGCTGATGAAGTGACTACAGTGAACAGTAAAGAAACTTTCTATTTCGAGATTCCCTCACAGCAGTTCCCTACTCTCAGTTCAAGGTATAAAACAAACTTCAAATGCAGAGTCCCAGCATAGCTATCGTATCTCAGGGATACCTCTTTCAGTATCTGTATCTCTGTTTGCAACTCCTAGCTGAATTTTTGCTGCTTTTCTTTTTTTTTTTTAGTTTTAGTTGGGCTGACAACGTACTCTGTGGCACTCGCTCGTAATGTGTTTCGGTGCTTGGGTTAGTTTTTCGAAATTGAAATGTATGCAAATAAGTAGTCGCTGAAAATCAATAAATTCTTTGATGGTATTAGGAACAGGGGGGCACAGCTGATTGCATGTGGAAATAGTCACGCAAATCGTGGCGCAGAGAGAGAGAGAGAGAGAGGGAGAGCCCTCTAAAAATGTTATTTAAGCTCCAATCTTTTCCCGTAATCAAGATTTATGGAATTTTTTAATGAATAGAAGGGAACAACAGGAATGGATGGGATGCTCGATCGCTCTACTTTAATTGAAAATTGTGTAATATGAGGGTTACATTTGGGCAGAGTGTAGTAGATTCTGTGGTAGCCATTCGCTACACGCATATTGTGTAAATATTTACTCCAATTCCGATTGAGATTCCATCAATGAATGGCAGAGGAAGCAGCGTTCTTTTGTTTGCCGCTCCTCGAGTTGGTTTGTTAATTAAATTTAATTTAGACAGCAGTCAAATGACAAACGACCCCCGCTGCCATCATCGTCGGTATTATTCATAATCGGGACAGACACAGACTTAATCAATTTAACCCAGTTTTTTGTTGCCTCCCAGCCTGTCTGCTGTACGTCTTTATGTCGCTGCCGAGTGGGTGGTCCTTTTGTTATTGATTCTGGTGGTGTTGGAAGTGTGGCATAATTAAGTCCAATGTTGCACCAAGATGTGTATCTGTTGGGTCAACAGCGAGCTGAGGTGAGTGCTAACCAACAGTCTGTCGGTTAACACACCTGTTGATGGCCAAAAGTGAAAGGAACTACACTAGTCCATTCGATAAGATGATTTTTGATTTGAGGAAAGATACTAACAGGGCCTCAACAAGCATTTTACATTGTCACTGTCTTTTTCTTTCCTCTCTCAGTGTGTCTTAGCAGTTATACTTATATCGGAAATCTAAATTTATTTGAAATTCTGAAAATTTCAGAGAGTCAATAACGAGGGGTACAGATAAATATGTCTGTTGTAGAGGATAAGCACTGCTTCAAGAGATTGGAGGGCCTTTACAAAAGTGCAGCAGCTCTCTCTCCCTCTCTGTATATATATTTATCAGTACAGAAATTGTACAGAAACTCGTGCAGAGCCATTCATGTCTTTAGACGTGTCTAAAACCAAGTTGCAGCGCTAATTTGAAGCCTTGCCTACGAATGAGACATGGATAGCAGACAGACAAACAGAAAGAAAGAGAGAGAGAGAGAGAGGGGAAGGGAGAGTGAGAGTGAGAGAACGAGAAACATTTGCCTTTTGCACCTTGCACGCGGCCAGAGTCTGCCCACCCTCCCCCCATTGCCTACCCCATTTGTGTGCTGCAATTTCTGTCTGCGCTGCAGAATTTCAAGTGCCGTGGCAGCGCCTCTTCCATCTCCTTCCCAACGGTGTCACCTTCTCATTCCCTACCGTCTCTCGGTGGCACCCTTCCAACGTCAGTCAGCGCACAGCGCAGCCCGCCATCATGGGGGCAAGCACACATAAAATAAAAGGGGAGCAAGTTTAAATGCAATGAGCAAAAATCAATGCAACCCCAAAGCAGACCACCACCTCTCTCTCTCTCTCTCTCTTCCCTTGCTCCCTCTTGCTGATGTACATACATATGTGTGTAAGTGTTTGTGTGTGCGGGAGTGAGTGGGCGTAAACCGGCGCCATGCTGCTTTATTAGATTGCTGTAAATAAGTTTATGATGCGCCAAAAAAGAAGAAAATACCAGAAAAGTTCTGTAATAAAAACTAGCAGAAACTAGCACCGAGACTAAGATGCCCTTTCTTCGCTACACAAAGAATTTTGTTTCTTGAATGATAATTTCTATTAAATTAATATACGATCCGATCTTAGTAATTCCGTTAAAAACTCCAGTTCCACTAGGGTTAATTCTTCATTAATTCGTTTACATTTCTGTTGAAATCTCCCAGAAGTTAGCTTCTGTTTCATCTTAAATTCAATTTGTCCTCAGTGAGAAAGTGTATAAAATATTGTACATGCTTGGGAACCACCGCAGCGCAGCCGAGCTGCGTACAGCAGCTTAAAGAGAAAGAGAAAGAGGTACACGAAGGAAGATGTCGCTGTGTCATGAACGTTAATGAGAAAATGTCTAATGGAAGTAGGCAATTTTCAACAAATTTGCATTATAATTATACGATTATAATGCTAGCCTAGTAGCTGATCGAACTGAACAGTAAACGGGGTGTGGAGGGGAGAGAGAGAGAGAGAGAGAGAGAGGGTAACTTGAAGCCGCATTCCTAAGGCTTCCATGGACTGGAACGATGGCAAGAGGCACATTTCCATTGCACTTGGCGAAAGCGGAGACAGAGAGGCGACACCTCATGTTACTATTCTGTAAAGTAAAAAAAAAAAATAGAGAATGAAAGGGAAGTCGCTAGGAAATAGAAAGATATATGTAGGACCCGCTGAGAGGTATGAAGGGAGAGAGAGAGAGTGTGAGAGGGGAGCGGAGTGCATGTTGAAAATGAACAATTTCTTTGGCATTTTACTTGAAAATTGTTTCGCCTTAGTTTTTGTTTTTGTTCTTATTCTTAACAGTTTTGTTCTTGGTTTCTATTGCTACTACAAAAGTTTTGCTACCTTTTATTGTTTTACTTTTCTCTTGCATAACATAATAGCCGGGCCAGCGAGAGAGAGGGGGAGCCACTTTCTGGCCAACAAGAACTCGGACCAGTTTTCTCGCTCCATCGTTATGTAAATCCAACCATCCAACAACCTGAAACTTTAACCATGTGAATGGAGCAGCCGCAGCATCACCATAGCAATTGCTGAACCAACTTCACATTTCCATATACTCGTTCATAATTTAATTTAATTTATTCATTTGAATTTTTACTGAATTTCCGAATTTTCTTTTTGCAGCACCGACGGCACAGAATCTCCCATACTGGCTGAAGACGGTGGCGATGGACATGACAAACCACGTTTGCGCTATGGAGAATTAGTTATACTCGGGTAAGTTTTTACCACTTGTTTACCAATGTATTTATGCGTTTATATCTTTAATCTTGTGATGCTGTTAGCTCCTTGTTAGCCTTATAACAATCCATTCTTAACAACAAGAGTAGAAGAATAAAATATAAATCTTTCAATGATCTATGATCATTACTAACGATCGTTCGATCAATCCACAAAAAACCAGCAGACACACCTCCATAAACAGCAGGGGAAAAAGCGGCTCTAAACAGTAATCTTTTCCTAGAGTCTGTAGACTCTGAAATCAGGCACCTAGTACATTTGATTCACGCCGCAGCACGCCACCGTCCATCGCTCTGTCTACACACACGGGCCTGGGGAGTAGATTGATGGCTTTGGCCGTCTGCTGGGACGGATGATTGTAAATCTTGGTGTCCATTTGACTGAGCAAAGCGCTTGACATTGCGCTGATTACCCAACATGGCCCGACGCTTTAGGTGAGAGTCACAGAGACCCAGAAACAGAGCCAGAACCAGAGGAAGACTCGAATGAGAGCCAGACCCAGAGCCATATCCAAAGCAAACCCAGACCCAGACTCATTCTCGTTTCCCGGGCCAACTCAAATGCGTTTAGAGTCATTAGCTTTAAATATTCGAAACTCTGGGGCAGCAGT